ACTACTCTGAGCGCTTTCCTGGTCTTTCTCTGTACCTCCAGGCGAATACCAGGACAGTACCTTAAATCGATCCACGACCACTTCCTTCCAAATTACATCCGACTAATGATTTATTTAATCATCCTGTCATTCGGCTCTGTGTGGTGTGACGTTTCAGAGGAATGCTCTGACTCCATCTTGATCCTGCGAAACGTTGGTGACTACCCACAAGTCCACACGGCGTCACAATCCAGAAGAATATCGACATCCTCACAAATATCTCTTAATTTTATATGAATCACCTTTCCCCGAAGCTGGTAGCTAGAGTTGTTTCTGATCCAGTTCAATGCAGTTTATATCCCAGTAACCTATTTTTATGGTGTTTCATATATATCTCAGGCGGTTAATTGCCGGCTTTTCACTGCCGACTCCCGGATTCGCCGCTCCCGGGTCAGTCCTTGTGGGATTTGTAGTGGACAGAGTGGCACTGGGACAGATTTCTCTCCAAGTTCTTCAATTTTCCCCGTCAGCGGCATTCAACCGCTACACAATATTCACTCATGTATCATCTAGGGGTGGACAATGGGCCCGTTAGTGGCCGCAGTTCGACAGAGATAAAAACTCACTCCGTCGCAGAAATAGTAACAACGTATTTCTCAGTCATATTGAATGTTTTATGTAATTTTATATTATATGGCTTTTGTCCAATTCGTAATTTTTGAATATTTATTTTTCAAGTAAATTATATAATTTTAAACACGTACATTCAATTACATAAATGGGTCAAAATTTCTCTGAGTTGTAATTAGCTTGTCAAATACTTACCTGCTTCTTTGGAACCCGAATGTTCATAACTGTTCACAAAAGTCCTTAATTAGATTAGGTATGTCTATGAACCCCCCCCCCCCCCCCCCCCCTGATTTAATCTTCCATCTACGAACGAAGTCCCTTTTTCCCTTGCGGTTTCTCAAGCAAACTTTTATAACTGAAGTTAGCTTATTATAGAACAGTTAAACAGATTAATTACGTCCATATTTGAATTTGTCTTCAAATGTCGCTGTCACGTGGGAAATTTATTACATATTCATTCCTCCTTACACCTCTGACACATTTTAAGCACATTCGAACATTTCGCTTACGACTTTTTGGAAAATATTGTTTAACACCCAGCTCACATTAAGCAGTTTTCAGTATCATCCTTCAATACCAGTTCGTCGGTTGCATTGAAATTTAGGCGATGTTTTACATTGCATTGTTTATCATTAGACAATAATATTGTAAGCGATATAGCATTGTACTCTGTCGCAAATAAATACATGTCAGTCGTTATAAAAACCGAATCGAGATGTTGTCATGGAGTCCTTGTGTGGTTACATGTGATTACCACATTTCAACAGACGCCAGACAACACTTCAAACAAGACGTAATTGTAATACAAAACAGGTACGAACTTGCTTTTAGGGTTCGTGTTACAAGTGACATTCTGTTTTGTGAATGAACAGAGGCTTTATAATAACATGGAAGGGCTTTTTGTTTAATCAGGTAAAGCTTTATTTGCATAAAAATTGACTCTTAAATGTAGTGAAAGAACGTTCAGTTGGAACAACAACTTTGAAAATAAAATATTTGAACCCAGCCGGTAATTTTATGATAATTTATAATTTATGCTAGCCCCAGTGTTGTCGTGTAGATAGAATTTTTGGAGTCTGAAGATGGCTGTCTTCTGGTTTGTTGCGCCGTGTCGTCTGATAGAAGTTTCGAGCGATTCTCTCTGATGGACATAAACGTCTGACAGACTGACTACATGGCGCAACATTCCAGAAGCCAGCCGTCTTCAGTATTGTCGCCGTGAGAACCTCAAATTTTACGAATGTAGAGTCCGTGTGAGTTTTGGGGTGGACGAAGTGTGCACCTGGATAGAAATTCTTCTACGAGCCCTTCGGTTTTCGCCTGTGTTATTTCACCAATGCTTCACATCCACTCATGAATCATCTGGGAGGTGGCCAGCCAGCGGCCACAACTCCACAGAGACGTAGTCTTACCACATCATAAGATTATAAAAGAGACCCTCTGACCATCCAACCGAATTAATGTAACTGAACAAAATAGCTGTTTCATCTCACACTTTTTTGTATTTAATGCATATGCAGATTGAAAATAAGACTCGCGGTACTTCAAAAAGTTTTGTAATTTACTACGGAATGGACGACGACCACTCGCCATCTAATGCTGAGGTTAAGAACACGCAGAGTTATGCTTTTCTCTATTTTATCTAAATTCTGAACTGTAATCGGCATTTTGTTAACAGTGTGCCATTCACTTATATGATTTATTACACCAATCTGTGGATGTTACCTGGAGTGTGTACGTTTTTCTTACGGACCCGATATTTAGTTAGTTCGTTGTGGAACATCAGATTACGTTGATTCTGTCTCTCTCTCGCGCGTATTACGTATGCACGCAATTCCGCTACTCACTTGTCAGTGCCTCACGGAAGTTGTGTTTACCCAAACTTTCTTTGCCGCTCCAGGTATATTTATTCAACATACGTGGTTATGTAGACAATATTTTTAGTGGAATTTCTGTAACATGTCAGACCTTAGGGTGATATGAAGCAGAAATAGCGTTCGTTTGTTTGCACACCTTTCGTTTGCGACGGACATGTATCACTGCATTTCAATCCCTACTTTTGGTGGTTCTGCTTCCGGGTCTAAACCACTCAGTTTGCTTCATTACCTTAAGGTAACGATGCGTTCCCTACAGACGAAGCTGTTACCTATTTGATATCTTTCACTCCGGTGAGTTCAGTTGGCCATTTTGACCAACTTTATCGCGCAGGGTAGATAGGCGATCAGCTGCTTTTGTGGAATGCGAAAGTTCCAATGTCAGTCTTTGTATCTTAACCCGAGCCAGATGAATCGAGATCACATTTTCACATCCTGTTTCTCAAAGATTCAATTTAACATCAACCTACAATAAAAATCTAGTTATCAAAGTTGTGTTCTACAAATCCTTGGGGTTTTCGACAACATTTTGCATTAATTTATAATTTTCCCCTTATATTCTACATGCCCCTTCATTATGTGTTTATCGTAATAATATTATATATAGATTATGAATACTGTAGCTCATCATTGTGCAAATTTTTTCCGTCCTGTTACATCAAATTAAAGACTATATACTTCAGAGGCGCCTGACATTTATGCATTATGGAAAACGGTAAAGTTGTTGAGCCTGCATACCTTTTGGAGCATATTTCAAGGCGTAAAATATGAAATAGTGGTACATTTCCCCCACCTCATAAGTTTACATATTGATATTTTCGACAACAGGAAATTAAACTGTGTGAAAGTACAGTGATTTTTAATGCAATGATATTCATACCGGGTGTCATGAAATTTTACTTAATTCTTTTCACAAGTTTGCAGGCCTGAAAATATTGCACGTCATTGTTTTGTTATTGTACTTTCTTTGTTTATACAATAAAATAGTATAAAATGTACATTGTTCATAATTCCACGAGCTAATTTATCGGAAGTCGTATATTTTATGTACAGCCCTGTACATGTGTTGTTCTTTCAAGTCTTTTAAAAGTTTTCATTCATAAACTCAGATGCTGTTTTCCTGCTGGAGATGATTCTGAGTTATTAATTTGGAATGAAATAAGCAAAGAGGTTTAATTTTGGAATTGCGGCAGGTTAGAATAAGTCGAACATTTTCATTCATATTATTTTATCTTTAACCCTTGATTTTGCTGTCTCTCGAACTTGATGAATAATTTTGTTTCATCCGCATGTATATTTTCGGTTCTGTCTCTTATTTTCTTTTCTTTTCTCCCTGTCCTTCAGTTTTTCGTCCCTCACCTTCTATTTCTTGTTTTTTTTTTCCTAGCCAAGATACGTCTAAGACGTAGCTCCTCGACGATGTTTCTCACGAAAGGTTTGTGAATTGGAATATGATTATTGTAAGTCACTTTAACTCTTTAAGTACGAGCTTATTCGTTGGGAAAAGATTTTAAGAAAGCTGTGTAGAAAATGTCGTACATTCGGAAGGCCTCAACTATTGTTTACATTTTTACAGAACGTAACTAAGAAAGTTGTGGCATAATTGACTTCGTACGAGAAATACTTGAGATCGTTAAAATGTAGTCTCTCTTAAATGAGGAATAAATACATTTTCCAGTGCTTACACTTTTGTGAGTCTTCCATTGACCTTGATATATATGTCCGTAAAATAATGGTGGGGTAACAAGCAGTCATAGTTTTGGAACAAAGCAAGATAGAGACATTAAATTAACGTCAAAATAAAGAGAAACTCTCCAATGTTTCGATACGTAAACAGGTTCTAGCTCAACAACCCAGAGAAACGGGGAGCCTACTGAAGCAGTCACGTCCAGGACGACCATCAGTGTCTGACGATACCATTGAAGCTGTGCTAGCAAGTTTTCTGCGTAGCCCGAAGAAATCAGTGCGGAAGTGTTCTGTAGAGTTAGGCGTTTCAAAAACAACTGTTAACAACGTTTTAAAGAAACGACTACGCTTTACTGGTTATAAAATTCAGGTGTTACATAAAATTTATCCACAGGACAAAATTAAACGATTCGAATTTGCTACAGACATTCTGGATAGGTTGGATTATGATGGGGAATTTTTAGACAAGTTTCTGTTCAGTGATGAGATTACGTTTCATGTTTCGGGACGAGTCCATCGGCATAATGTTAGAATATGGGGTAATGAACCTCCGTATGCCATTATGGAACATGAACGTGATAGCCCAAAAGTTAATGTGTGGTGCGCAATTGGACGAGACAGAGTTATTGGCCCCTATTTTTTTGCTGAACAAACTGTGGCGGGAAAGACCTTCCTGGATATGTTAGAAGGGTATGCAGTGTCAAAAATACCGGAGAATTTCTTTCCCCAGTTAAATGGAGCTTCTCCACATTTTGCCACATTCGTGTGGGATTACCTAAACAAAACATTTCCTCAGCGATGGGTCGGACGAGGAGGGTGGATAGCCTAGCCTCCACGCTCTCCAGATCTTACCACTATGGATTTTTATTTGTGGGGTTATGTGAAGCAACAAGTGTTCTCTGTCCAAATAACAAATTTGGACCATTTGAAAGAACGGATCGCTGAAGCACACCGAATGTTCTCGGTCGTGTATGGCAAGAGCTTGAATATCGTCTTGATGTCTGCAGGGCAACTAAAGGAGCACATATCGAAATCTACTAAACAGGTAAGATTATTGGAGAGTTTATCTTTATTTTGACGTTAATTTTATGCCACTAACATGCTTTGTTCCAAAACTATGACTGTTTGTTACCCAACCATTATTTTACGGACTCACTGTATATATGTATTGCAGATGAATCTTATCACACTACAAGTCCCGCAATGCGTAGTCAAAATATTTCCTACCCTGATGATGGAGACGAAGCTTTCCTTTGAGACATTGGTAACCACCTACCAGCCTACAAGGTACCACAGTCTAAAACACCACAGTCGAAATTTTTACCGCAGACACAACCTTATGTACCCTGTAACATTTTGTAAGTTTCCTCCCGTTGAATACATTATCGGAGATTAAATTGTTGTATAGGCTTACATTCCTATGTATCTGTGCGATTTAGTCCTTTGGTAGGGTCTATTTCTGGTTTACGTCATGCTAAAATCAGTTGGCGAATATTAAAAACAACCAAATACAGAAGGTGGTAAGTAGCCACTCCTGCATCGTTTTCGGAAGGTCCCAGGTACAAATTACTGCTCGAATACAGGCTATTCGGGCTAACGTTTTAGTAGTTTTACTCAGTTCCACGAAATACATTACGGATTTGTATTTTAAATTAAGCCACGACCGCTTTCTTTCACACATTTTGCAATATTTTATTCTTAAAATTATTCATTGTCAGAACTTTTTCATCGTTTTTTCTTTAAAAACCCACGACGTTTCGGAGATTGGTTCTGTTTAATTACATGTGAATAAAATAAGGTATGAAGGAACAAGAGTTTCATTACATAATTTTCTTCACTCCTTGATAGTTAATCGAATGTTACGGATGATCGAGTAGAACTCTGGTTTATTTTGAGCAGGAAACGGGTTCGGTCCACGACTCGAACACTTGCTGTTCTGACGAAAGGTTTCTGTGGTTTTCCTCAGTCCTCCCAGGCAAAAGCGGAGATATTATCTTAAATCAGGCCACTACCACTGCCTTTCATATACTTTCCATTTAATTATTTGTCCTTTGATTCGAAATCATAGAGTCTGAACTACTGACTTCAATGTCAGTTTGATCATCGTGTAAACAACAGTTAGGTTTTACCAATACAAACCAATCTGAAATTCAGAAGACGTCTTTAGTATAGAACTTGATGCCAGGTTTTGTCGAATTCTGGGCAGCAGTTTCAGAAAAGGGAGCCTACGGGTAGACAGATACACAGGACCTCCAGTTTATGCGTGCATTTTAAGCGCTTACTATTAAGAACGTGTATTTTTATTTTATCTATAGTTTCTTTATTTTTACTGCATGCAATTTAAAAAATCTTCATGACATTACAAAAATTGAAATAAAATTTTATATTAGGGAAGTGTATTGGATGGGAAGCCTGAGGGGAAGAGACCGCTGGGGAGACCTAGACGTAGATGGGGGGATAATGTCAGGCGGGGTCTATGGGAGATAGGAGTTGAAGGAGACTGGACAGGGTGCGGTGGAGGGCTTTGGTTAATTCGGTGTTGAACCTATGGGTTCCATAAGCCATCTAGTTAGATAGTTAGCTAGCAGGGCTACAAGTTTCGCGCAGACAAGTAGGAGGTTGTACGAAAAATGTAAAATTACGTATTGTCTTTATTATTGTCTGCGAATTGAATTGGTAACAGACCAATTTCAGTGTCGGAATACTTCGGCCCGCGGGTGAATAGCCAGGGGAACCTGAATTTATGATGCTCTTAGCAACTGGAATTTTAATATTTCCCTCCTACATGAATATGGGCATCCCAAATGGTCTGAGGTTCACAACCAAATTCTTGTGTGCGTTTTCCTTGTACATCATAAGAAATGTAAATTTAGAAAACTTGTAGACGACATTCTTTCACAGAAAATACGATCATTATAAGGCCATGACTTGGTTTTCAAAGAGTCGCATGCGAAAACCAGGAGAAGTCTCAAAATAAGACTGGAATACAGCAGGAGAGAAGATGGCTGTCTGGGTTGTAGACTGTAAGACGTTTCAGATGTGCTTTGTTCCCCCCATTGTCATTGTCAGGGCAATGCAGGTGAAGTTTTACGTTGCTTGTCCTCTGTAATCAGACGTAGATCAATTCCGGGGCACAATTTTAAATCCTCTTATCTGCGTCGAACCTTATCCAGGCTCACTAGGGAGTTTCATGTAGATGAGAATTTTAACTTCAGAGAATTCTGGCGTCAGTATAACATCAAAATGACCATTGTTTTACGTTTGCAGTTTTATTCATTTACAATGTACGTGGCGTTTTGCAAGGACACAATCGCCCGTATATAAAAAGAGTCACCTATATTTTAGAGAAAGTACATATGTTTTAGAGAAATACGGCTTATGAACATCCAAGAAACAAATTGAAGATTTATAAACTTGTTGGCGGTGTTTCCCTTAAGAAGACGCAGTGACATAGCTGGGGTGATAAAGCTGTTTTAACCATTGTAATTTGCAGAGTGTAACCCCCGCTACAGGGGATTGGCATGTCAGGGGGTCTCTTACAGCCTCTAACGTCATTGTTCTTCAATAAGCGGATCTCTCTCCCCGTTCACCCTGCTACAAGAACTTCACATCCCTTCTCCCCCTCCCAATTCTTCTTCCAGATCTTGGTGGCTGCGTGTTAAAAAGCGCCGTCAAACACCCCGCTCTCCCTCCCGCGCTTCTCTCTATTCTAGTTGAAAATTAGCTCAAAATTCAATCCGGAACAAACCGGAGTTGAAGGCAATTTAGTTGTTCCCTCAGATTAGATTGTTGTTTCAAACTGCAGCAAAACAGAACCTGGTTCTTCCAGGGATACCGTTTGCTGATAGTCTGGGCACGCAGATGTTATCTTTGCATTCTTTGCAGAAAGTAAAATGAAGGCCCAATGGTCAGTTCGTGTCCCTTGGCCTGTTTCATCCCCGAAACTACTCAACGGAGTTGATACTGGAGTCAAATTATACAAGCGAACTTAATATTAATGCATTTAATTTCACTGTAACCCTTAATTTTCATGACGTACATATAAACTTCGTTAGGCTATATTTTTTCTTCAAAATTGCCCTCCTTTCGGAAAATTGTTAATCCCTCCTTTCAGAAAATTGTTAACGATACAAAGCAGAACCGTAATTAAGACGGGCCTATATATGTTTTAATTTAACAATTTTGTGTACTTTCTTCTTGCGCTAGCCTATGAAAACCATTATTACTGTGTTCTCTGTCCCTGATCTGGTCTTTAAGCTACTATAACGGGTTTCTTAACGCAGAAGTGATGTATATCAACTTTTTAACGCGTAAAAAATTTCCCTGGTACTACGACTACATTAAGTATGTTTAATTTGAAACTAAACCTTGATTACAACGGTATTTGTGAGCTTTGGTGGCATTAATATAATACAAATAGTTATATTTTAGAAATTATTTATTAGGAAGAACACCTGTAAACATGCCCGACCCCGGAATGTTTACTATCACAAACACTTCTGTGTCCCCAAGTTTTGTTACGAGTCTGTGTGTTATTTTGTTCGGTTCTTTTAAGGATACGCTTTCCTAAATGTTTCACCAACGCCAGCAAACGATTTCGAGGCGATGTGATTTTTGGGAATGAACACATTCGACTCGTAAATCCACCACGTTGAAACCTGTACTGCTTTCTGTAATGCCAGTGACGTTTAACGTATCTTAATACCCGAAGATTGCTATTTGCCAAAATATTAATGCAAATATATTACTACTGTAAATTTAAGTAAGTTGTGTTGATGGTGTCTATGAAACTTCGACTAATATACACAACACCCATAGTTACTTTATTGTATTACACAATTTGTTCATAGATATACCTAAACATAAATAGAATAAATATGTATATGATTTATCTTTATTTGCTTTTGACTTTCCACGACCGACTTTCACTGATTCCTTTAATCAAATGCAATAAAAAGTTTGTCCAACGCGGATTCATCGAACGAGGTTTCACTATAGTCACAATGAATTGGAATCAGGATTGTACAGACGATGCCATAGAATAGTTTAGTTATAATATTCTTTCGACGTCTATACATGTAGACAGAATGGCAAAGACCAGGCTACCCAAAATTTTAATAAATTATGTACCAGAAGGAAGAAGAAGTCGGGGATGGCCTCTGAAGAGGTTTTGGAAAAGTGAAGCCGGAACAGGCCAACAAATGGCCTAACTCCATGAAAGCCACATGATGATGACGACTTATATTGTAAATGAAACGTTTAATTTGTTCCGTTTCCAATTCTAAAGGATTCTGACGATTGTGGATTACACTTTAAACTAATCATTGTCTGGACTTTTTCCATCGCCCTTGTTTAAAAGAAGAAACCACGACGTTTCGGCAATGAATATTTGTTTAGTTTTTTTTTATAGAAACCGCTTAGCTAACGTTTTATGTGGTACAATGTTACGTAGATTTGATGAAAGCAAATTGACAGTAGTTTTGAATTGTCAGAGCTTTAATCAATCCGCTAATTCAATCTTGTTATGAAACTCTGTAGTACCTACTTTACTCGCTAAGTTTAATCTAACTGCCTTATATAGACCTTGTGTTAGTTTTATTATGTTGGTATTTGGATGAATCTTTTATGTTGCAGTTTCAAAGTTGGTTTCTTTCACTATTGATTCCACGTTTTCAGAAACAAATGAGCGCTGGAAATAGACGTATTAAATCTTATTCTATCCGTCGCGGATTTTTCTACTCAAATATTCGTACGAATAATCAGTGTCACTCTTTCGATGATAAGTTCAGTGACATAAAAAAATTATTCACTGATGTAATAAAGTTTTAAATTAAAGAATACAAATGTGACGTATTTATGCAATGATACTGAAACGCAAATATTTAGGTTCGTCCCTTGTTCTTGAAATCTCAGTGACATGTACGCACTAATCATACTTAGTCACATTTTGCACTAAATATCACTTACATATCAAGACTGACGCTTTCATTAAAAATCTTATATTAAATTCAAATACTGTAATGTACTTGCAATAGTTAGTCCTGGCAGTAAAATGTGGCGAGGTCCAGTTTATTGCCTCTTACTTCAGCCGGCATGGTTAAAATATCGTATTATTCAAAGTTTTTGAAAGTGTGAAGACTTTGTCTCGAGTATATTTTTAAGGAACTTAACTAATTTTCAATGGAATTGTTGTTGCATCTTGAGACAAAACATTTTAAATTTATTAAAAAATTCTCGTTTCACGGTGTTGGGGGTGGGGTGTTGCGCCGTACTGTCTGGTAGGAATTTACTGACGTTTCGGAGAGATGAATAATTTCTCGCCAGCGGCTTACTCATCATCACCTTGATAATTGATACTGCAGGCGCCTCTGAAACGTCGGAAAACTTCTATTAGACTGTACGGCGCAGCAACTCAAGAGACAAGTCATCTTCGTTTCAAGACATGTTAACAAAGTAATTAGGATGTCTGAAATTTCCAAATTACTTTATTTCGTTTAAAGAGATTTACCTAGGTAATGCTTTCTCCTTTAAATATATCTAATTATCATTGTAGTTGGGATGCAAAAGGCGTAATGCGTCTATTAAAATGTTTCTCGCCGACGCATTTACCTAGATGACATGTTCATAAATCATGAACACATCCGTCTCTGTAATTTATCGAAGTGGTTCGATCCTGACAACCGTTCGATTGTAAGATGGCTTCCCCTGAATGACATTCTTTTCTTTCTTCGTTCTTTTGTTATTTCTCTTCTTCTGTTTTGATTCGTAAGTTTCTTTTTTGTGCTCTCATCCGTTCTTTGTAAAGAGACAGCTTGCTCGGTGCCGTGTTTCGTAACAAATTATATTATTATTGTTATTATTCTGAATCGAAAAAGAACTCCACCATTATCGAATTCTTTGTTTTATTATCGACTCTGCTACATACAAATTACATTACTCAATACACTGAACCCTTTCAGACCAACGCTGGAGTAGCTAGCAGTAGCTCCTGTTCTCTCCAAGTTGTGTTGAAACAGCTCTTACTATAGCAAATATTAATTGCTGTTAATTTCACGCGTAAACATCAAACATTCATTTTGTAGTATACGTTTTCCATCTGTGCTAAAGCATATTTAGTTTCATTCGGGACGCGAAAAGCCAAATGATTATACAGAAGCCAATATTAATGTTTTGAATGAAAGTATTTGTGCTTTAAGGCTGTCATTTAGAACTTAAATATACATGTGTGTGGGAATTTTAGTTTTAAACTGGGCCAACAAATACGCATTACAACAATTGTTAGTTTAATGATATTTTACTGATGTTTGTATGAGGCTTTATCTTAAGTACCTACTATTCGACCAAAATTTACACAATGGTCTAAATCTGTTCAAGCCAGTTAGGGTCTTTGAAGCGTGGGCCGCGAGCCACGTGCGGTAAAACAACATATAATCTTCTCGGGCAATCAGCCGCGTTAAATGGTTACCGTAGTAAACCGACGTTTCGGGAACAAACTCTATCCCCATCTTCAGGGTTCTGATGTGACTGGATACCCGGAAGTCGCCTGCTCGATACCAGTGCACATGTCCGGACCCAGGCCCAAGGCTGATTGCCCGAGAAGATTTTATTGATTGTACTCGCCACGAAAGTCCCAAATCCTATAACAACAGATAAAGTTTTATTAGAAACACTGTAGGCTATTATAGATCAGTCAGAACAATAAGTTGGCTATCTGCGTTCGATTTTCTTGAAGCGAATTAGAATTTTTCTCTTTCCGACTATGTTCACTATGTTTTCGGACTTTCTGAGACACGAACCGAGGTGGTCCAACTTATTTCTTCCTTTGGGGCATTATTGTTAGGTAATTAAGAGAATGACGGTTGAGAGTCATAATGACATGATGAACATACCAAGTTTTATAAATGTATATTTATTAACTAAATCAACATTTGGATTGGACAGACACAGGAACATGATAATACCACAAGGCTGCATCTTTCCTGGTAAAATGGACCGTACTGCACAATGAACGTACAGTCGATTTCATATATAAATAAATATGCAATTCGGACATGGAGTTCTCTTGATGATAAACACGTATAAACACAGAGTATATTCAGCCGTGATCAGCTCTATAACGAATTTCTGTATTTGAAGCACAGTATTAATAGGTTTTTAATAGTTTTATTCCCAGAATTGGTTTCTTTAAAGCTTTTAGTTGCACTGTGCTATGGAATATGGAGTGAAGGCCTCCAAGGAATGTTCAAAGCATAGCTGAACGAGACCTAAACGAATATTTAATAACAAACATTATGTAGCACATCGTGGAAAAACGACCTAGTAAGTAGATAAACAATTGACGGCAAATTACGCAACAAAACCCGCTAAATAATTAAAAGAATTAATTCGGTTTTCGTATTCAAATTCTGTTCTGCGAAATTTGTTATAACCGGGAGATCTGACAGCGTCATTTGGTGATAATGCCTTCTAATGGCATTATTTTCTTGTTCGTGTTGTCTTTATTTCTCGTGCATGAAGTTTGTATTTTTCCTTTCTTAGTCTTTGTATTTTCTGTAGTAGATCTTTGAATGTTTGTTAACGTGGTCTGTTTTATATACTAATGCGATATACGATATCGTATCATATTTTATGTTTTATGGTAATATCTATACCCTTTATCCTAGGACAGTTTGGTATTGTTTTCGGAATATATTTTCAAGATTATTGTTTATTTAGCTCATGATTTGATATTATGTTATAACGGTAAACAAGGTAATGAATGGCTTCGCATGCAACTGAGTAAGACAAAATTCAAACAGAATCGAATTTTGAAGGATATAGGAAATATGGAGATCAACTTTCTCCACAAAAGTGTCTGGGATCTCCGATATGTAATATAGGTCGTCCATCTTAATATAGGTATGCATTCGTCATCTTCGTCCAAATACATTTTTGAAGTGTTTTAGCACATTTCTTCTGCTCACTGATAAAACGCCCCTTCGTTATCTGTGTGACAAATATGACGTACGTCATTTTTCCATTGTCATGCATCTTCTCGCATTTTCTTCTACTTAAGTAAATTACTGTTTTCATATACATATTTTCATAGGAAGAAAA